TTGCAATGTATTATTAGTTAAAAATCAGCTGCAATTATCTATTTTTCAAAACGACGCATTTAAATCTAGTACTGTGTGTATTCTCATTAAATATCAGACACTATCAGTAATTAATTTCATTGAAGCTTACCGGAGTCTAATATTAATAACACTGACGCGGCATCAGATAATTGCATAAATTCACTCCTATTTGAGAGGCGCAACGCGGATTAAACCAACGCACACTTTCAAGCCGCGAAACACCATCCGCGACCATTAATATCTCCGGTTATAGCTGAACGTCTCGTTAGTTAGCAATAACTATCCCGGAGACTTCTGCCCGAGGAACGCGCACTCATGCCGCACTTCATATTTTACTATACGTACCCTTTCCACCCCCCGTGGGGATTTTGCGCCCGCGGTATGCGTTTAGCCTAAGACGTCGAACGGAATAAAGTCCGGCACGCGGCGCGACCATACCTGTAATGCATCTAGCCGTCACCTATGATCTCGCACCGTTACCTTGAAATAGGTGAGCACCGGTCCAGTCCGGTGGCTGCGGCTTGGCCCACAAACTCTAGTTACGAGCCATTAAGCCCCAAGCCGTATGAGATATCGTCTCTTCCAACCTTGAATTTGTCCAGCTTCATTTATTCAGGATTCATTTATTAAATCTCCTTCCATAATTATCTGAGAAATCTTATACTTCCTTCTCTAATAATTCTTATGAGAATCTCTACGTATCAAACGCACGACGTTTTAATACGAGACATTTTCAACGATATTCCATATGTTCTAATAAACCAGAAGTCTCGTTTGCCTTGGGAAAATAACAGGCACTTAGTTCTAAAAGCGGAAAGTAGAGCTAGAGCAAGGAAAAAACGGGAGAGCAAATGAAAAAAAAAAAGGACGGTGGCTGTGAGATGAACGGAAGCTGCCTCGACGGGAAGCGAGCGTTTCCGGCGCGACATCCTGATGCACCTATTTCTGGAGGAAACGGCGCGGGGGCGTGTGTAACGAAGTTTTTCGGGCGTATGAATGAAAAGTCGTGGAGGAAGCCAGTCGAGCGGCGCGCGGTGTCCGGCTTCGTTGTAGCTCGCTGCGTTTTCTCAAAGAAGACGTGGGTGCCACCGCCCTCACTTCTTTGTAATCCGATGCGGTGTAATCGCTGACTGAACAACCGTGCGAGTTACGTGTACACGCGTGGAATCGTGAGCCAACCGGGTTCGACGGATTATATTCTTTGTTCGCGTCCGGGTCGATACAGACATTATTGATGATGTTTGACATAAAAGTGAGTGGCAATCGACGGATTCTGCTGTGCTCTTAGAAAGCCTCTGGGGAAATCTGTCACAGTTCGATTCATCAATCATTTGTTCATTAATTAATTCATCGTATAAATCGTTGGGGTTTATCATCGAGTTTAGAACACCGTCAAACACCGTTCTGTCAAATTAGTTCTATCTTAATTCCGGTGGAAATAGTGGGAAACGATAATCAAGTCTCGTAATTTGAACCGTCTCTCACGACAGGTTAATGATATGCCTCGAAATGGAGATAATTTAAAAGTATCCGGCGAAAGTCGAGAGAAATTTTATTAATGCACACCGATACTTTATATTGTGTCCGTCGTTTCATTAAAAGTCCGAGTGATCTCGGGCGGACCTTCCTTCGTCGGACAAGTATTTTAAGCTCGCAGAGAAAGTCGACTCGCAGTTTCACAAAATAAATATAGAAAGTTGTAAAAAGACAATTTGCGGTATGTATACAAACTGCGGAACTTGTTCGATTGGAAGCCTGGCGTCGGACAAAAACGTGTGGCTTGGGAAATTATCGGAAACTGTATCGTAAATCTAAACAAGTTGATTACAAAAACGATAATGACACTGCCAAAGCAGTTTCACTGCAGATTACGAATCTCCTCGTTATCATTCTTTATCATTTTTGTAGTTTATTAGGGCGAAAGTCCAGGTGAAAGGGAGATATTTTTTACTGCATTCGACATCGTTCATTGAAAGATTCTTTCGAATCCTGTTAATCGACCTAATAACTCCGCGATTAGACTCGATAAAGAAACGCGATTTTTCCTTTGGACGGCCAGTCGGGGCCGGATGCATTTTATGCGATTCGCACGAGAGGGTCGCGCGGCCGTTTTCACGCGATCCCTCGCGTATGCGCCAACGAGTAAGTACGCTTCTCGGCCCGGAAAAATGCACGCCGCGTGCGATTACTATGCGATATGCGCTTATACGGCCGGCTCGAGACACACGTGGGCACACTACACGCACTTTTTTTCCGTTCCTGTCTCCACATCCTGTTTCTTACACCGGTCCTAGCTACCTAACGGGTGATATTTATTAAAATCAATAACAATATTCAACAATTCATAATAAAAGTTCTTGACTATTCAGCTTCGTTAAAAAAGAACAGCGGAACGATGTCATGGCATCTTTTCTTATAAACGTCAGTTTTTTGTAACTTTTCTATTAATATATTTATGAATTTTTCTAATAAGTCACAGAATTAATAAGTCCTGTTGCCTCTGACACAAGCGGAAATAAAACAGTTCTTCAAATACTATAAATCTGAAGTGGTGCGAATTCATAATATCGCATCGTGATTTCATCTGAACGTTACTAGATACATTAATGTCATAGTTTTTAGCGGCCGCATTAATCCTCAGGGGAGATTAATAGTAATAACGTTCCCGAAGATATCCCCGCGGCACGCGGTTCGAATGTACATTCGGTAATATCCTTAATATTCAATAGTGACCTTTCACTTTTGCTCGCGCGTGGGCTCTTGATTAATTGCGTACAGCGTACGTATTCATATTGCGTGAGATTCTTTCGCTTGAGAAAAAGTTCAATGGAGTTTCACGTAAGCTGCATATTTTATTATATAATTGTTTCGCAATTGTATTGTTAGAAAAAAAGCGAAACTATGTGTTAATAGGAAATTGAAACACGTACGGAGTAATTTATTTACTTAATCGTTGCGTCACTCATCTTCTCTTGTCTAATCAATAAATTTTATATGAATCGTTTATTCAAGATTCTGTTCATAATTTAAGTATCGAATTTTATGTATTGAATTTCGTATCGCAAATCTCAGTGTTATAAATTTGTTTCCAGGCTATCGCGATGCGTCTGTTCAAACGTCAGTCCTTTGATACCGGGCCGCAGTTAGTTTCGGCCACTCCGTTATCTCAGGATGGAACCGCATCGTCCGTGGCGGCAGTGGCGGATGACAATGCTGATCGGGTCATCAACAAGAAGTTTCTGAACGAGAACGATAGATTGAGTCGACTGTCAACGAGAGATAATATTAACGATGTACACGACGTGTCTGCGTCGCAATCATGCGTTACAAACCGGAAAGGTAATAATCATAAAATCAAAAAGCGATTTTTATAAAAATCACTTGTAGAACTTTATAGCAATGATTGACTATTATTTATTTTTGGGTCGAGAATTAAATTGTTTGCTTACGTCACAGGAATTTCGACATGGGGCAGGAAAGTGGGTCGGAGATGGGATCAGCTGAAGAGATCCGACAGTTCCGAATTGCTTTCGGTTTCGGGCCGAAGGAGACGATGGAGCCCGAACCGGAAAGCCGACGCAGCGGACGAAACAGAAAACGTAAGCCACTTTCCAAACTATACACTCATCTTAATCTAATAAGTAGACTGCAGATTTTTTTCATTTATAAAGGAAATATAGAAAATTCAGTAACGTGCAAAAATATATAGAATATCAAAAATTATATCGTTGCGAAATTTATTCCGAAGCACCGAGCGTAATATTTTAAACAGCGACATGTCGAGGAACCTGACGATAGAGGAAGAAGAAGACGTCACCTGCCTCGGCCATTACACTATGGAAAAAGCTCTCAGCGAGGGTGCGATAAAGACCGGAGCCTTTAAAGCCCCGAGCGACGGTCTAAAGACACTCGATCGCAACATGCACCTTCACGAAAAGAAGAAACAGCTCAGTCGCAGCATCCACGACCTCCAGGAGCACCAGCGCGTTCTGGATTACATCCTGAAGAACCAGGATTTACTCAAAACGCAAGAGGGAACTGCGTTTGCCAGGCAAACTTTAGATAAAGTTATACGCAGTACGAGCCCGACGAGACGTGAGAACCAGCCTCCGACATACAATGGGAAGAGTAACGTTCCCATCCAAACTAAAGATTTTTTCAGCAATCATATTAGCAATATCAAGAGGAATCTTTTCAATGCGCGTAGTAATGAATGCGACAGGTAAAAATATTATTTAACAAACAAAAGTTTATTAGACTGCAATTTATAATGAACTAAAAATATTAATAGTTGTTTAAATGCATGTTGTTTAAATTCTATACTTTGCATAATCATATTTATTACATTTTTCTTTTATTTCATCTTTTAGAATCGACAATCAGAAATTTTGCCAGACGACCGGTTTGGAGGAGCTCATGTGTAATCTACGAATAGGCTGCGACGAGAGTGGCTACGACACTGATAGCACGAGAGCAGGAGCCGATTCTCCGGACAGTGAACAAGCGTCGGTACCAGCTATGTTGAAACCCCGCAGTTTTTCCATAACGTCGGACGATTACCACGGAATCGATTTGTCGCTACCGCCGATAACAAAAGACGTGGTAACGGAAGCGGAAGAGAGCAAAACGAGCGTATCCACGTGCGCCGATGACACTGTTATCGTTAACAAGAGTTCATTAAACGAATCAGTCAGAACGGATACGACAATCGTAGCATCTGAAATGGACGATACTGATAGCTGCGACGAGGACACGTTCAAGGAGTTCGCGGAATACCGGATGAATTGTACGCTGGAATCGACAGTCAGCGCGTTAGGAAATGCTGATAACGAGTTGTTAAAAGGTTCTTCGGCCGTCAGCAATAATTTCGTGACGCCATTCGCTTTTAGTAACGACGAGATCAAGAGGGTCGAGAAGAAATTGATTAAGACAGAACAAACGGTGCCACTTTCGCAGGCGGTGAAATCGCAGAATTTACAGAAATCGCAGATACCGTTGAGAACGCGAGTACATAGAGAGTCGAGTATTGTGAAACTGTTAGATAATGCTGCATCCCCGTGTAAAGATAGCCCGCCAGCATCTAAAGTCTGCGTGAAACTTGCGAGTCCTTTACAATATTACAGTCCGAAGAGGTCGCGTTCGAATTTAGAGCCCGAGGGTCCCGAGGTCAACTCCAAAAGTAAATTGAAAAAGTGTTCGCCGTTGGTGAAACCAGAATCTTCTGCCCCAATCCCTCCAACACCAGCGAAGACTTTAATCCGCCGCGAATTAAAGACTATGAAGTTAACTTTGCAAAAGTTTGGTAGTCTTGGAATTTCCGTAGAGAGGAAGGAAGCTGTGAGACCTTTTTATGTAATTTCGAAGATGGATCCCAACGGGGAGGCTGCGAAATCGAAACTGTTCCGAATCGGTGACGAGATCGTCCGCGTGTGCGGCCGTAGATTGCGTGGGATGAGCATTACAGAAGCTAGAAACGCGTTAAGGAATTGTTCAGGTACTGTGGAACTGCAAATAGCCAGAGAACCGACGTTCACGTTTGGGGAAGAGATCGGAGACACTTGGGGCGATATACTAATCCGCACTCGCAGCGATTCTGAGGTGTGGACGCTGAAGGAAGGGAAGAACGACGCTACGACTTCGGTAGACGGCGTTACGCAGGAACCAGACGCTGCTGAATGTAGAATAGTCGGTGCTTTAACGAAAAACGGCAAGAACTTGTCTGCGAACTCGATGGAGCGGATGGACAGCGAGAGCGAGGCTACTGTGATGAAAGAGAGTAGCCAGAAGATGACTGGAATGAAGAAGTTTCACGTAGTTAGGAAACGAACTACTAATACTATTTCCTATCCTCGGAGGGCAACCAGTTTGTCGATGGACTTGTTGACTATTACTTTGATGAAAGGAGCCTCGAAGAAATTAGGCTTCTCTATAGTCGGCGGATCGGATAGTAATAAAGGATCGATGGGAATTTTTGTGAAAGATATTTTGCCTGATGGGCAGGCGGCTGAGGAAGGCACTCTGAAAGTTGGAGACGAAATTCTGGCGATAAATGGTATATCCATGGATGGCCTGACTCATGGAAAGGCGTTGCACACGTTCAAGGCTGCCAAGGCTGGGAAACTTGTCCTCCACGTGGGTCGCAGGGACCCAACACACATACGGTTGGCTAAACGCCGATAAAGGGATTAATTGGTCTATGTAACACCGGGTTAGTTCTGGTGCTTCGCTTTTTAATTGGTTCTATGTTGCTCCTTTGCTTATAAATAATTTCCGCTTTAATAACACTTAATCTGCTTTAAAAGATTCCCATTTTCTAAAATTAACGAGAGGGATAAGAATATTTCTTTTATTTATATTGCATACAATTATAAGAACAGAGATTACGTGTTTGTTACAGATACATCATTCAATCGAAATCGTACGATTGTCTGAACAAATTGACGGAAACGGGGGACGAATGAGAGCACGGAAATTGGGAAAATCAAATCCTAAACGTCATTAAAATCATACTCGTGTCATTAAGTTTAAACACGTTCGGTAGATTCAAGATATGAACCAAATTTCCTTTTACGACCTTATTTTTTTTCTGTGATATATCGTTTATTTTAGTATCTTCATTGGTCCGAGGTCGGTAATTGAAATTATGCCAAAACAATCAATTTTGAGTACTGAACGTGTACATTAGCGATTAGAATATCAATCGTGGCACTATAAGTTTCATCGTTCTTGAAATAAGAAAATACTATGAATGATGTTCACAATTTGAGTACGTTATTCCGTTTCGATTATGTTACAAGTCTATAAAAATTAAGTATCAGCATAGAAATTGATTTTGCTTTTCAGAACTAACGAAATCGTGTAATGATAGGTAATCAACGTGCAAATCCATTATTCGTGTATTTATCGTATTCGTACAAATCGATATTAGGTTTATTAAATGGTGAACTAATCTGTTTAAGACAATAATTGTGATATCGGTTAACTATTTTCTACTGAAGAGCGCCCCATTAATGTTCGTTTCATACTAACGACGTCGATTAATTTCGCATACCTTCATTCGAAAATTCGCAAACGATATACTGGCGAATTACATGATTTTTTTCAATGCCAATTTAACGATGTGTATGTAAAACTTAGAAATTGTATTTGTTCAAATGACGTGTGTCTTCGATCGATAGTTAGAATCTTAAATATAAAACTAATATTTGGTTTTTATCGAAAATGATATATTAACTTTAGTACATCTTCGTTCGTCGAAAAAAAAGTTATATGCACGATAGTAGGAATTGTTTATAATTGAACAATTTTTGTTATCGTAAATATAATTAAAATGTTATAGTTTAATAATAATACATAGCCAAATCCTGTTAGATTAAACGCTAACAATTTGGATCATGGCTGTTTGATTTACTTCAGTGTAGCAGAAATTCAACTTATGTTTTGTATAAAAAAACATATGCTTGGTCAATGCAAGCTGCACAATTCGAATGAAGGTTGATTAACTCGAGAACCGAATACTCGTCGTCTGTTACTTACTACTCAATTAGATCGTAAGCCGTAGTTTCGTTGGTGAATAAATTTTAAGCTACTGAGACTGACATTCGGAATGTCTACCTGAGAAATACTGTGATATTCATTGTAGTCGCATTAGCTGGTATTTGTACAAACTGTATTTAAAATGAGTCTGGTTTTGTTAATAAACGTGCCTACGTGGTTAATCCGATTTACTTATTAAATCCTTCCAATAATTTTTAATTCTAAATTATTGTATTCCACAATTAAAAATAATAGTAATACATGTATGTATAATTTAAATTTTTATTCAGTGCAAAGTTCGATCTTGCATCTAGAATTGTCTGCTACAATTTATTAATTAAATGTGACAACTCATGTCTTGTTAGCCTGATTTTATATTATTACAAAATACAACACAGTACAAGTTATAGTATAATTATAATTTATAGTACAAAAGGAAGTGAGCATAATATATAATCATTTAATTATCCTGAAGGAGGAAGGTAAGTCGGTTGAGGGGTAGGGGCAGGATAGCTAGGTTGTGGCACTGGAGCAGGATAACTGGGTCGAGGTGCAGGGGCAGGATAACTGGGTTGTGGCGCTGGAGCAGGATAACTAGGCCGAGGTGCTGGTGCTGGATAACTAGGAGGAGCTGGGGGAAGATAACGTGGTCCAGGACGTGAGACATATGTAGGTTGGTAAGATGGTGGAGGAGCTGGAGCAGGATAACTAGGCCGAGGTGCTGGTGCAGGATATGTTGGTTGAGGAGCCGGATAGCTTGGTGGAGGAGCTGGAGCAGGATAACTAGGTGGTGGAGAATAATTGTATGCGGGGGTCGTAGGATAAGCAGTACTAGCTGTAGCTGGCGTCGTGTAAGTCGAAGCGCTTCCTGAAGACGTTGTGTAAATCGGGTAACTGGGGTAACCTCCCGATGTAGCCACAATGTCTCTAGCCGGTCCAATTATTTTCACTGCGCCAGTCGATGTTGCCGTTGCTGTTGCCGTACTGGATGCGTATGAAGCTGGTGCTTGAGTAACTTGACGGACTTCTTGGCCATATGGTGGCAGGTACGTCGGCGCTGGTGTTGAAATTTGTATCGGTGGTGGTGGGGTAGGTACCGGAGGAGGAGATGGGGGTAAATATGTAGGTGTTGGCGGAGGAGGAGGTGGCGGTGGCGGTGGCGGAGGCGGTGGCGGAGGCGGAGGAGGAGGTGGCGGTGGTGGCGGCGGAGGAGGAGGAGATGGGGGTA